AATACATTAAATGTACTGTAAAAATAACTATAACACAACGTTGTTACAGTTTTTAAATTCCTTGACCTCACGAACTTCGTTTTATGTGTTTTGCTCTTGTTATTGTTATACTGTGGACTTATTTTAAAAAGAAAAAAATCGATCATATAAGTTTGAGGGGGGGGGGTGACACCATGAGTTTACCGCACCGGGTGACACCAACCCTAGCTACGCCACTGTTAGTAAGCATCTTTAAAATATTGATAGGGACAAAAACAGCTCTTGGGTTCACGTTTGATTACTCAGTAACAGCGCTGACTGGTTCATACACGCTGGCGATAGTAAGCAAGAGCAAATTAATTGAATTTTGTAAACCATATCTTCTTCCGGGACATTACTTCCAATGTTCTGCAACTTTTATTTGAATAAAATATCTACATTTTGAATGAATACTGATTATCTCCAACAATTCTAGACTGAATAATTCCTATTCAGTCATTAGTGACGTTTCCTATTTTATTTGCAATTTCTTGTCAAACACGTAGATCTATATAAAAGTGCTTAGATTTTATTCTGATTTTGTTTAGTATTGTAATGTAGAAGAGGAAGGCTTTCATTACAAACATCCATTTTGTCTTGTTATTCAAGCTTCAACCTATCTCCTTTTAAAAATATTTAGAAATTCAAGAAGGGACTTTCCCTTAAACAACACCAGAATAAACTTTCCTATGATTGTTATTTAGGCTATATTTCTTACCATAATTAATCATTATTTTCATTACTTTACAGGACGTCGGATAGCAGAGCAAGAAATGCATATCACATTATCAAAGGTAACTAGCTCAAAGAAAAATTAATTTTAGTTTGAAAAATGATTTTTGTTTTGTTTTGTTCATGGCTCCATGTATTATGTATTTAATATTGTAATTCAATATATATTTTCAGGAGATTTCAATATTTTTTTTAAATGAGACATTTGACTTAAAATTCGCTTCCCAGTTATAAAAACAATTTAAATGGGTAGAAAATTTTTTTAACAACTGGGTCTGAGATCCACCTACTGATCTCAAATGTTCAATTAGTGAGGTTTTCTATAAAATGTGTATACCCACACAAGGTCTTTAAGGCCACTCATCTTTTTAACTAGTTCAGAATTAATTTTAATAACAAGACTTTGAAAGAAATTAAATTTTATTTTTAAGCTAACAAAAACAAAAAAACCAAAAATGGTCCAGAACATTAAAAAGTTAATGAAGAATCATGTTGGTATAGTTTGTTCAATTATTGTTCTTTTCTTTATATACAGATTATTCAGAATTTCACTCTGAGTTACAACCACGATGATGTGGAGCCTATTCTAAACACCATGTTGACCCCTGACCGACCTGTCCGAATAGAGTTCAAACCAAGACAATAAGACATAGCAATAGTAGAGAGGATGTTTTTAAAAAAAAACAAAAAAACCAACCAATCTTTTGGCAAGATTGGTTATAGTATAGGGACTATGTGGAAAACAACTATTGTATACTGCTGTCTGACAAATAAAGCTAACTTCCTAAAGCCAGAAATGTTTCTTTACTGTGACATAGCTGATATACTTCAAAATGAATATCCTCAATAGGTTCTGCCACAACTTCACTCAAAATTTGTTCTCCCATTAATGAAATTATTTATAAATAATTTAAAATAACATAAGACTCTTACTTAAATTTGTTTACAATTTAAGAAAATATCAATTGTCACACATTTCTTAGGACAACTCACTGAATCTGAGATTTACCATTGAATTATGAAGATGATCATTCTATTTCTAATTAAGACTGACAAGTTTTTCAGCCTTTAAATTTTTTAAGTCATCAACTTAATACACAGATTTTTAATTACAAATACAAAATAAATTGCACGACAGTTGTTAGTTCATCCATTGAAATTAATCAAGACCATTTTAATCATTGGTGTAGAGGCTGATTCTGTCAGTGGGTGCACAGATTGTTGATAAGATAGATTCTGGCAAGATATGTTCTTCCACTTGTAACTGTAAGTGCATGGGATTGATGGAATATCTGCAGATGCAGCGTTAACCTGTTCTTTTCTGGAGTTTTGTGTGTGCACTGCAGCAGCTATTCTGTTGGCTTCCTGTTGTGTGGAGCCTTTGTATAAGGATGAACGCCATGATGCTCTATCCATTGCAAATTCTCCTTGCATGAACAGGTTTATATATTGAAGGCTTTGGGTGAGACTTTTAGGTTGTCTGACAAAAGTCAATATCAAAGTTTCATAGTAAATGTTTATTATTGTTTTAAATAAATATAATAAATGCATATTGAAAATATCTACTAGGCTTTTAAGAAATAAGCACTATTGTACAACAAGAGCTAAATATAAACATTTGCTGAATAGATAATAACTATGAATGGGAAAATATACATAGTATAAAGAATTTAGATTAGTGTCAAAACCTACTTAATAAAAAAAAAAATTAAATTACAATTAAGTAATTAAGTAGTGAGATTTTAAAAAATAGTAAAAACAAGATAAATTTATCCAAATGATATGCTTTACCTGTGCTTTAAACACATTTCTTTACAGTATTATTTTAAATTTTATTCACTATTTTAAAACAATTATATAACCATCAATAGTGGCTGAAAAATAGAATAATTTAATTTACACTTCCTAAAACTAAGAGGGTGCACTTTTCTTTGTTGTATGCCATATTTAGGAGTGACACAAGTGAGAATTGAATATTAATTATTATCTTTTTTTTAATCAATTTTTAAAAAATGTTTGCTTCATTATATAGCAATCATTCTTTATGTTAAGAAAAATCAAAACAGCAGAAATAGACTGAATGGTAAAACAATCACATCAATTTTACAGTGTAAATTAACACTTGTTTGGAATTTCAAACAAATCTAGACACAATAAAAAGGGCAAAGATTGCAGATATTCAAGATACTCATAATTACAAGAAAAAAACATAAAAATTATAATTGATGAATATTTTTGTTAAAGGGTTCCTAGCACAGGTTTTGATCCTGTAGGTTGGCATGCAAGCAAGACATTTCCAAATAAGTGCTTTTTGCATTGTCTTTAGAATTAAAATGAAATATTTGTCTGAACATCAAAACAAATGAAAATATTTACTTTTGATAACAAAAGTTTAAAAAAGGAAGTTATATATAATAATCTGTGTTTGGAGAAAAAAGAATACAAATAATATCCCATCGACATGACTAACACTTATAAATATTACAAACTATACATTTTGCGAAGGGAACACAAAAGAATTGGCTAGAGAAATAAATTTACTAAAATCTTCTCAAATGTTTTATGTTAAAATTACCCATAATTATAACTGGTAGCTTACATTATATAAAAATTTAAATTATACATTTTGTCTTAAAAGAATATAAATGGAATAATATAATGTAATATATAACTTGGTTTTTGTAATGGAAGACTGAACTTTTTATTACTTGATAGCAATACCGGTAATAAAAAATGTAGTAAAGATTTTTTAAATCATCATTAATTAGAAACAACTTTTTGAAATGCATGTTAATAAATGGGTTACAATCTCATTAATTATTTACAAACAAAAAACTATGTGTATAGAATAACAGACAATTCTGTCAAATAAAGTATATTCTCAAATTTATTTTCAAAACTCAATCAAATCTTTGCTGTTTAAATAAGACTTTAAAAAAACTAAGACAAGCCTTTTAAAAAAACAAAAACTAACTGGCAACCACTTTTGTTATTAATGATTTCTTCTGCTTGTTTAATTGTTTGACTACCCGGTACTAATGGATGGAAACAATAATCCATACCAAAATTTTGTTCTTCCACTCTTATATGACTTTATTGTAAAATGCATATAAAGCTAGAATAGACAAAAAGACTGCAGAATGTTATTTTGTATTTAAATTAATTTTGTAGTTATTTCAAATGGGATTTTTAAGACCTACTATTTAAGTTCATGTAATTAAATCTTATTTCTAAATGCAACATTCTAAAAGTCTAAAATTATTAGTAATAATATTATGGTACATAATGTTATATTTGAGACACTAGGTAGGTAAGCATTAAATAACACTAATTATATTTTGTTGTGAACAAATTCTTCATACATTATTGATAAATAAAAATAAAAAACACAACAAAAATATAAAACCAGATTCTTATTCTACTGTAAAGATTCCAAAAATTGCAGATAGTATGTGAAAAATTGTTAATTGATACAAATACATTTCATTTGTTTGTTAGGCCCATTGCTATTATTTCAATATAAAATATATATATATATATATATAGAGAGAGAGAGAGAGAGAGATATAAAAAATATTTAACATTAAACATAAAGGCCAATATTTTTAAAATGGAGAGCAGTAATGCTTTGAGGTGGTAATTAAAACTTATGACAAATAAATCTTTTCTTTCACTGCTATAAGCAGGACATTTTTATTTTTGATAATCAGACCAGACCATTTTAGTTTAAAGGGAAATATTTGATAAAAAAATTTAAATATATGAACTTAAATTTATTATACTATTTTAGTTAACTAAATTAACTTTGATGGAGAAACATTTATTATCCTTTAATTTAAATTCATTCTTACAGACCTGTTTACCCTCAAACTCCTAAAATCCTACAATATCGTCCCGAAAAATGTACAATACAGTATCTTAATAGTAAATAAACATACAATATACATGATGTATACAATAACTACACATGTCCAGTGGAATCGAGTAAGGCTGGCATGAAAAAAAGGGAACTGAACAGTACAAAGTAGATGACTGACATTAACTGCAATCTGGGGTCACTTAGTTTTGCAGATGTGTATCTGCTATAGATATCAATGTCTAGGTGAATGGTCAGCCGCAAGAAATAGATATGTCACAAAATTATGTCATAAAGCACCGAAGCAAACAAACACATTGGGGGGGGGGGGGGTACTCTATATAGAAGGTTGGCAAAAAAAGATTAAAATTTTTTTTCCCCCCCCCCCCCCCCCCCCACCTCATTTTTTTTGCACTCGCACTTTTTTAACGACTCCCCTCCACTTGCATTGTTACAAGGAGCTTTGGGAAAAAAAAATAATTAAAAAATCCAATAATCTTTATATATTAATGATGTTACAGAAAACAAAATGTGACACAGGTTTTCACCACTGGGGATTCGGCAAGCCCAGCGTTCGCAGTATTCATGCTGCATCACCCTGGGTGCTCATTGCCCTTGGGCAGGGCCATGAGAATGGGTCGTAGAGCAATAGGCGCCGAAAGCAGGGAGCTACAAAATCATCTTTGGAAAGGACCTTCAAAGTAGATTAAACTATAAAATCCCATTTACTTCTCAAAGACAGAGGGTGAAATAAATTGTTGCTTTACTGGTCAGCCTGGGTCGGGGTGCACATTTTTCTATGTAGGTTGCTGTGGTTTACTCACAGGGGCGTTGCCAAATATTACAAAATTTTGATAATTTTATTTCCACTTTTAATCCAATGTGACAACTTTCGATCGTGGTGCCAACAGTAGCTCCCTTGGGTAACTACCGTTTGCAGTTACTAGATGGCGCTTAGAGACCTAAATACATATTATATTTAGTTTTACCCAACCCTTTATTTTATTTTGTTTACATATTCGCTATTTTGAAGTGTCCTCGTTTGAATTTCACACAGAGAGCCTGGTGAAAACCTAAATTTGGCATAGGCACCGGTAAAAAATTTTTTTTTTAGAACCACTGGTAAAGCCCAACATAATATACATCACATGTTGAACAGACGGTGGACTAAATATTACTGTAAAATACCTCTACTACTTAGAACTATCAGAGCGATATCTAGTGAGTACATTTGTGAAAAAACATGGCAACATTATGACTATAATTCCTAAAAAATATTGATCGATATTTTTACAGCATTTTTAGACTTCAGGGGTTCGGGACAAATATTGTAAGTTTTTTTAATAACGCTCATTCCGCCGTCCCCCACACCACAAATTTTTTTTTTTTTGTACACAAAATATCTTAAATCAATACCACTCCTTTTGCCTTTCAGGGCAAATCTAATATAATTATAGATAGTCTCCAGCCAATCGTATATTTAGATCCATTCACTGCTGGATGTAGAATGCAAATTAAAAGTAACAACAGAAAATGTACTTTTTAATTAATTATTATTTTTTTTTTTTTAAACTACCGGAATGTATATATTTTTAACCCGGTCTCTTAAAATCGCAGGTATGACAGGTTTCGCCGTACATTCGTAAAAGACATATCAAAATCATACATTGTACGCCAAAATCGTAAGAGTAAAAAGGTCTGTTCTTATGTGTAACAGTACAGTGCAAAATCCAAAGCATAATTTTTAACTGTAAGATTAAAAAAAAAATGTATTCACAATATGAACAATAAAGTATATTTAAATATTCACGTTCATAAACATTTAAGTACCATACTTTTAAAAATAACTGAATCTTGTCATTGCAGAATTTTAAAGAAAAGTTAGTGAAACTTTTAATCTGTAGCTGGTTTTGAAATGAAATTAGTGATGTTTGATGACTCAGATGGCATTTGTGTCAGTTGCACCTCTTCCTCTCTGCTGTTAGTATCAGTGTCATCTGTGAAATTATAGTAGATATGCATTATCAAAGTTTCAAGATTTAGTAAAATTTATTGGTATTGATGTAAGATGTAAAGTTATTTGGCAAGATAACGGATGCCACTTTATATACTTTAATTGCCTATAATTATGTTTTTTATAAAGTACCACTAGAAGTCGGTGAAAAACAGTAACAAAAAAAAAAGCAACACCAAAGGCTGTTTTTGCTCAAGTTGGACTACCTAAAGACTGGAGGAATTTATTTTGAAAGGGCTTTCAAAATTTTAAGAATCAGTGTTGATGGATATGTGAATATTAACTGTTGTGTAAATGTGCTTAACATTGCAACAGAAGTTAAATGCAGACATAAAAATTCTTTAATATTATTACTATTATAAAGACAAAGGCATTTTTATAATTAAATTAATGGATCTTTGCTTTGGTCCATTTTTTTTTATAACACTGGAATATGTCCACTATTAACCTATTATGATCACCCAAAAAATATAAAATTTATCTTTATCCATAATATTTTAGGAATATAATTCGTAAGAAACTCCCACTTTCTGAAATATTTAAGTCTAAATTTGGGTAATTTTCTAATTGTTTTATTTCAAAACTATAAAATTGAATTATGTTCATCATGTATTTTGATTACTTGAATTTTCATGCATGAGAAAAATTATAAATATAAAGCAAACACAGATCCATGAATTAAGACACAAAACATTATTGAATGTTTGGCTTACCTGTGTCAGAAATGAATTTCTTGTGTGATGGGGCATACAAACTGAGAAGTGCAATAACATAGACATTCCACAAACCATAAACACCTGAAATTTTTATGAATTTTAGTTAAATCTCTGGGATGTTTAAACTACTTATAAAATTAAGTAATAAAATTTGAACAATAAAGGAACATTTGGTTTAATATTTCTTCTTCTGCCAGAAGCAGTCAATACCGATTACTAGTTTTGTTTTAAATAATCATTTAAATAACCAATGGCTACAAGGATCATCTTCATAACTTGTATTTTTTTGGGTCTTTTTAAAGAGAACAAGCACCTATTATGTATTCAAAAAATATAATTTTAATTGTTATCCAGTGAATCGGCCAGGAAAGCTAAGGAAATTTGCATGATTTTAGCGCAATGAGAGCCTTCAGATTTTCTGAAATCTTTAACAGTTTTGGAACTAACAAAATAATGTAAAACCCTCCAAAAACAAAGGTAACAAAAAACAACAATTCTTTTGTCAATATTATTTACAGAACAAATGTATAGATTTTTAAAAATCAATATATTACTATTATGTATACATAGCTCACAGAATTAATATTAATTGTTAAGAGAACAATTGTACAAAACTTTGAAAATAATTTTTTGAGACCCGCTGCCTCACACTCTCTCCATCCCTACCCCACGTGAGATTACTTAGGCTGGGCCGAACATTCATAACAATGAACAATGGAAATTAACTTTGTCACCTTGACAGTGACCCAGCTTAAACAATGCGCGTTCTGGTCAAGGCGTACCCAAGCTGATGCCACAGATACCGTATAAAAAGGGAGTGCATGACTCTACCAGCCCTCTTTTTATTTTTACCTGTAATTTGGCAGCAGAGCCTGGTTGGTATTGTTAATTTTCATGTGTTTGTAGTTTTTATATAGAAATGTTAAGATTGTAGTTATTGTTAGCTTATGATTAATTATTAATAATGAGTAATGATGTGATTTGCATTTCTTAGTTATGTGTTGCATTATTATTCTCATTTACAGCCAGTATCAGTATAGTAGAGTTAAGTATAGTTCAGTACAGTCCAGTACAGTTGAGTTTAATATACAGTCAGTATAGTATAGGCCAGTCAGTTATAGTTAGTTGAGTTAATAGGAGTCAGTAGGTTAGGGTCAGGCTAATGCTGAGATCCTAATTAAAGAATCCAAGTGTAGGTTAGGCCTACGAGAGATAAACAAGGACTCCTGCCCAGGCCGTGTGTGCCCCCATTAGAGTGTGTAGAGTCTCCACCTATTTCGTCCCAGACCATGCAGTGACCAGAGACATCGCAGTGTGAGTGACCAGCGAGAGGTCGGTCAAACAAACAAGACTGCTGTGTGTGTGTGTGTGTGTTTAGGACCTGACCTGGTACAGAGGACAAGACAGCCAGTCGTAACAAAGTGCTTAGTATTTAATAGTATTAGAGAGTATACTAGTTATTCTTTATGTGTGTGTAATATATGTAATGTGTGTGTAGTTAATCTTTTTTTTGGAATTAAATATTTATTATTCGTGGGCTGAACAACTTGTGTTCTTTTAGTCATAGTATAGTAATAGTACTAATAGAAGTGAGAGGCGTGCCATTGAATGTTAGTGTAGTGAGATTAGTTTAGAATATTTAATTAGTAGATTAAATCATACCCTAGTCACAGACCTAGTAGGAGTACTAATCTATCGTAACGTAACACAGGGGACCTTTAAAAAAACACTCAAGTAACAACAATTAAGTAACACAAATCCTCCAGAGTACACTTTGGTGCATATTACCAAATTGACTTAATGTATCCAAAAATAACGGTTACATTGTTATGAAGAAAACATACTTTTCCTTTCAGCAAACTATTCCTCAATTACACTTATATAATGTTCACTTAATTTATTTTTTCTCAGTTTAAAAATAAAAAGAAATCACTGAGACATTTAAATCTAGATTTAATAACATTCATTTGTGTACTTGTCTAAAGCCTGGAAGGCTCATATTGCTGTAACTCAGACACCACAACACTGCACACATTTAACTTTAACATATACATTTTTAAAGTCAGTGTCAAGCTGAATTACTCACTGTATTAATAAATCAGGAGTAAGAAGGTGGCAGTGACATCTTTTAAGGTTCACTTATTTGACACTTACCAGTTAGAAAAGCACTGGTGTATTCCAGGCTAACATCAACATCTCCCCATTTCCATTGGCCCTCACTCAACTGACCGATAATAAAGAAGATAACTGTCAGAGCCGCACACAGCAAAGTGACTACCATTAAAAACTTGAATCGAAATATAAGGCCCTGCAATCACATTTGGAATGTTAAAAATGTTATATCTTTAAAAATTTTAAGTCTAGATATATTTATAAGATTAAGAACTATTTTTTTGTAAGAAATTAAGTTTGGAAATATTGTTCAAAAATTAAGTTACAGAGGTTAAGTATATGTAAGTAAAAAGACAAAAGCAGCTGATCTTTCAAATAAAAATTATCTTACAGAATAATATTTGCGTCTCAGGGTACTCATGTGAAGTAAAGATGTTCGTTTAGAGCTGATGTTCCTAAAGACTTTAAAAACTTGGTAGCAGAGAAAAATGAAGTACAAGCAAGCCGCAATACCAGCAGTAATGATAAAACCAAACTTTATAGTCAAGGACATACAAAATTAATCATATATAATGTAGAAAATAATGCAAACATAAATTTCAAGAAAAGTTAATAAGCACCAGTTAATTTTTTTGCTATTAAATTTTAAATAAATTAATATAAAAGGATACAGCTGCTACACCCCCAACTTCTGAGGACCAGATACTGTAAAATGGGTTGACAAGTTGTCTTCCACTGGAAGATTTCAAAATGCATATTTATTAAAACTACATACTGTAAAATTTGCATGCCAATCACTTATTTATTTTTACTATTAAACTTAAAAAGTAAAGTATGCATGATTTAACATGGAATTAAAACAACAGATACAAAGAACTTACCGCTCACACATCTCAAAAATGAACAGTGCCAAACAAGCAAGAATAACAACGGTGAGATGTTTCCAGTAGGCAGACAATCTATTTCTTTCAACCTGATCCTAAAATGTGAACACAAGATTTATTTATAAAGACAAATCCCTTACATACAAAAGGAGTATCCATCATCTTGGAAAAAAACAACAAGAACTCTGTTCAAACAAAAAGCAAAGACTCTGTTCAAAATTACAACTCACCCTCGGGAACTCAAAAGTTATTCATACTACACAATTATCGGACAAACGTCTTGCTACAGACTAATTTTAAGAAACAACAACAAAAGAACTAAAAAAAACTCCAACAAAGATTTTCAAGACTGAAAAAAATTTGTGCAGTTAATGAAAAAAAAAAAAAATATCCATTTATTTAGATCATTACAATATCATATCTTATAACAGATGATATTTAAATTTAACACTTAACTAAGATCCTTCCTACGATCCTCAAACCAAATTAAATGTCAAGATGTGAGTAATGCAACACTTTTATTGATGATAATTTCCTCATTAAATCACAAAACAATATTGTTCTCATCTAATGAAAACATGGCTATGGAAAAAAGCCATTTTTAACAGTACTTTTAAAAGAAAATCTTAACAGGCAAAAACTATTTGCTAGATTACTAACCATCATGTGCTCCCCAACAAAAATGAGCCAGAAAGAAAGCAGCATGGCATAGAAAGCTCCATCTCTAATATCATTAATAAGCATCATGAATGGCATGTTCACTGCTAAGGTTAACCATTCAATAGGACCTATAGAGAACATTTTCCAGTATTAATGTTGTCACAAGTCAAATTGACTGAACAATGATAAAATTTAATTAAAAATCTGGAATAAACACACCAAAAAATGAAATTAAAGACACTAGGGATGCTGATTAATCGGAAGAATGGTAGATTACAGATTATCTGCTGATAAACTGGTTCAACACTAACTACCACGAAATCTATATATATTTCTGGATATAACTTACAATTCATGATAGACAAAATTATTCCAAGTGAAAAGATAGTTCTGAAATATAAATACATTTATTTGAAATGGATCACATAACAATTAAGTCAGGTTTTATAAATTCTGTTAAGTTTTAAAATGCTGACTTAAGCTTTTTTTAAGGACAAAAGTTATTATTAAGTGTTTTGATCTATTGTAATATTTTTCTCTTCACTTCCTGCATTTGTTTTTTGAAAATATTATGAGATCAAATTTACACATTTGTACAATATCTTTAAGTTGCATTCATACTCCTGTTTTTTCTATTAGGTTATAACGCTAGGCATAATTTTTGAAACAAGTTAAAATATTTATGTGACCATGTGATGCTTACTGGAAAAATAAATGAGGAAAACATGTCCTTTTCTCAGTTTTGTACAAAATTTTTGTTTATCCTCAGTTTGCAATAATCACAGCACAATACCATATCCATTCATCAGTGTGCATGCTTTTATCAGCTGATAGGGCTATTATGAATGGGCTTGTAAACATGTTTTGGTTTGTTTATGCAATGTAATTATTGGGGAGTTATGTACTTTGTCTTGTGATCAGATAGGTGGGAAGGTAAAATTCCTTTACAATTAAGTTGAATAAATGCTGTATGAAAACGGGAAGCAAGTTAGAATTATGAGTTCTTGTGATAGTTTGAAAGATGCAGTGGCAGTCGGTGTGTTGAGATTCATCTTAGTCTTAGTGTAGTGTGGAATTGATGTATGCTTTTTTTTGGACTTTTAGTTGCTGATATAGGATCATTTAAATAAAGAACTGTAGCAGACCTGTTTACCCTTAACTCCTAAAATGGTACAGTATCATCTCAAAATTGTACAATATAGTTTATATAGTATCTTATTGAAAATAAAAAAAGATATAGTATATATAATGAATACAATAACTGCTCGAATCAAGTGCCTAGTGGGATCCAGTTAATCTGACATAAAAAGGGTAACTCCTAAAAGTACATGACTGATGTTTATATTGCTATCTGCGGTCACTTTGTTTTGCAGACGTGTATCTGCTATGGATATTAATTAATATTTAGGTGAACCTGCACATTATCACAGTCTGTCACTGGTAAAAATAGAGTTACTGATGAAATTTTATGTGGTTCAAACCTGAAGTCAGATCAGCATAAAATAAAATTTATAAAAATAAGACTTAATTAACAAATTAAGACATCATTTTAAAAAACCTACCAATTAACTTGATATTTTTTTTAGGAAAAGCCATTTTAAACAAAATAAAAATCAATATCCATTAGGCCTATTTCCCATATTAATAATTAAATTCTGATAACTACCACAAGCTGTAAATGGGTGAAAGGAAAAGGGAGTATTTAAAATCGTACCGCAGTTTTGTGAGCCCTTAAAATAGATTTCAAAGGCCCTCTCAGATAGTATAAAAATATGTCGAAATCTAATGTTGCTGCGCAGAACAGATGAGAATGCATTCTCTAGTTTTTCTGTTTCTGCACTTGCCGCAAGAAATAATTATGTCTCTAAATAACATTATCATCACCGAAGTAAACAAATGCAAGGAGGGGCAAACTGTATAGTACATATGCGACAACAACACACAAAAAAGGCACATTTTCTAAACAACCCCCTCCCCCCCGGCCATAAACCTAGTAAAGTAACTACTGTTTGCAGCAACTAAATGGCGTTTAAGCTCAGTTCACACTATCAAATTTTCATCAAATTTTTTTATGAACGCACAATTTTGTGCATGGTTTCTTTTTTTGGACACAAATGAGAATTTGATCAATAGTATTGTGAAAGTTGTGACAAGGCTTCATACACAAATTGCATCAAAAGTATGATCGAAAAATTGATCATGTGAACTGATATGTGTTTTATTTATTTTTACCCACCCTTTATTTTATTTTTTTATTCTCTATTTCAAAGTGTACTTGTTAGAATTTAACACAGGCAGCCTGGTGAAAATCTAAATTTGGCACAGGTGCCAGGAAACACAAATTTTAGAAGCACTGGCTTAGCTCAACAAAATATACATCACATGGGCTTTGAACATACATGGACTAAATATTACTGTTCTACCTTACTTAGTACTATCTGAGTATACCTACCGAGTTCATTTGTGAAAATGCATGGCAACATTATGAAGATAATTCCTACAAAACATTGCCTAATATTTTTACAGCATTCAAGATATAAATATGTTATTTTTGGAATTTCAGGATGAACATTGTAAAATGTTTGAATAATTTATGTACTTTCTGCTGAGCCCCCACCCTACAATACTCACTTATGCAAAATCTAAAAAAATTGACAACCCCCCCTTCCCCCCTCAGTGTGTACATACTTAATGGTTGCCCCAGATTGACTAAAACTGTCACTAGGACTGTAATACCTCTACAACTTAGTATTATCTGAGCATATCTAGCAAGTTCATTATGAAAACACAAAGCAATATCACCACTATCATTACAAAAATGTGGTGGTAATTTTATAGACTTAAAAATTTAGAGCCCCTCCTCAACACCACTCTATTTCCCTCTCAGGGCACACGTAATATAATTATAGTGGATGGTCCAAAACTAATTGCATTTCTCTATCCATTCAATGCTGGACGTAGAATTCTGCTGCAAGTTAAAACTAACAACCGAAAATGTACTTTTTATTATATAAAATATTTTTTATATCAGAAAAAATTACCGGAATGTATGTTTTCAACCCGGTCTCTTAAAATTGTAGTTGTCAGGTAGTGGCATACAATCATAAAAGACATCTCAAAATCGTAATTTGTACACCAAAATCATAAGAGTTAACAGGTCTGCTTTATTCATTTATTGTTGCTGTTTTAGTCATTATAATATGACCAGTGGCTAGCAAGGTGAAAGTTTCAATAGACAAAATAATTCCCAGACAAAGTTTTTACCCACTATGCAACAATCAAGCATTATGAACTGCTCAGCGGTAGACTTACCTACTGCATGAGTTTGGTTTGATTAAATGGAAGTGGTCAAAACAAAACGAACAAGATTAAACGATCTATAGCTAGTTGTTATTTTTTTGTAGTTTTTGTATTTAAAGAAATGTTTTTAAAATTTTTATTTTAAAAAAATGTAGCATGTATTTTGACAAGAACCTCTGGAATAAAATTATTGAAATAAAAGGGGAAGACATGGGTGGTTGATCTCTTGTATATCATCACTTGATCCTAATTTCCTAAGTTAGCGCTCCAAAATATACACACTTCACCCGTTCCAACATAAGACAATGTTTTACAGTTAAATCCATTTATACAAGTATTTATTCTCTTATTTACAATGAATGATTATCATTATTGTTAAGGTCTAATATAAAACTTTGATTTTCTATTACAATAAAAACATCTATATCATTAATAAAACCAAAATTTTCAAATAACTAAACTTAATTATGTGTATGTTACTTTGCTCATTTTCTTTAAAAAAATCAAATACCTTTCTGTCAAATTTGTTGCCCGCCCTTGGGTCATAACTCGAATCCAGAACCACACTAACACTGCCAGAACCATTGGGAAAAAGACAGTCTTCATTGAAAACCACACTTTAGTAAAGCCACCATTTTGGAAAATTGCCTGTAAAATACACACTAGATATTTATGCAAGTATAGACAATAGTAATATTCTAGGGTTGCACTCCATAATATTATATCATTGTTGTTTTATTAAGAATATGAAGATATAGATTTCTGTATATTACAGAAAATTAAATCAATAAATTCATTAATAAATTGAATGGATAACAATTTTTTTTCACAATGTACAATGCAAGACTCTTGAATAACTTGGAGCAATGGTAATAGTGTAGGCTTTAGTGTAAAAATTTCAGGCTCATAACAAAAAAAAACTGCTTAGATTATGATTAAGACTATAATAGATGAAAGAAGTGGAAGTAAAAATGTCAATGATGATTTACAAAATAAAAAAATAATAATTTTAAATTCTAAATAAAAACTGCCTAATCCATTTGTAGCAGTTCTGGAAATAGACTTAATGTTTACACCTTAAAATCAACCACAACAGTATGCAGAGGGCCCAAAATACATCAGAGTCCAAACCGATAGATTTAATTTATGGCAAAAGTACAAGGCTTTGTGCACATAACTGTAAAATATTGCCCTGTTTTGTTTGTAATTTTTTAAATAAGACTTGTGAGAGATGCTTAATTTAATTTATATTTATTTTTTTAAAGAGCAAAATATTACTGAGGGGGTAAAGGGTTTTTAATTTTTAGCTTATGTGTACTGGTGCATATGGTGAGGGGTGTGCGCCTTAGTGGAATTTACACATACATATATATTTTTTTCCCACAATTTATATATATTTCAGAAATATTGCAATAACTAAACTTAAGTTCTGACAGTCCATAAATAGCCAATTTATATCTCTAAAAAAGCCAAAGTAACCAAAAAATCTGTGAAATCCATGATTTCGAATTATTTTCAATGATATATAATATCTCCACAATGTTTTATAATTACTGTAACATTGTTGTTTTGTTTTCTCAAGTGAACTTGCTAGAAATTGCAGTGGTAATAAAGAGCCTAGTCAGTGATGTGGCTAGGGTTAGTGCTGCGGACCAAGATTCCCCAAACATAAAAATTCTGCAGTTGACAAAAAAAAAACCTTCCAAAATATAGAAAATAAGTACTGCCTAGGGCAGACCACCCCCCACCCCTTCCTGAGCTAGTGAGCCTGACAACTTTTAACAGTCCACCATTCTCCTTGGTATGTTTCTATGTATGTGATCAATAAAATTTTGTTTGGCTGAACCAAAGATTGTTTCCACTATGCTTAACAGTGGAGAAAACCTGTGGCATTATTCTTAACACGATTTACGGTGACATCATGTAATTGCTGTGTTACTGTGTACTTCATATTTGTCTATAAATATAATAAAAACAGGTGCTGGTGAAGGGGGAATACTAATTTGTATAGATGCAAAGAGGAGGGGGGTAATGGAAAAAGTGACTTTTTAAAGGTTTGAAATATATGGATGGGCCCTTAAACACTTTACTCAAGAATAAAAATATAAAAATCATTTTACAATCACAGACAGGTCTGCAAGTTGGCCAAACTGGTTGGTTTTGTCTTTTTTATTAACTGGTAGGCGGATATTAATCAAGTAGTAGTCATAATGAACACTGCCAAGCTCAAAAAAGGGGAGCAATTCACAATGATATAAACTTCCATCAACACGCTGAAATGGAAGAAAAAAACTATGTTTTAAATGTAATTAAAAGGTTATGTAAAATGAAGTTATTTGTTTAAAATTTGATTTCAAAGTGAAAGGATAATATATTTAAAATATGCATCAATGAAAATGCAGTTATAAAACAGATATTTTGTATTTAAAAAAAAAAATTTTAAAGAGAGAGAAAGAGAGAAAAAAGAACATTCCATTTTTTTCTGTTGATTTTGTGATTAATGCCTAAATGATCCAAAATGAGCCAAAATGATCAATAAATTGATCGTGGGCCCTTAAGATATAGAAGAAGAAGAAGAATGCAAAAATATTAAAAGAAAATCCTTAATGAAAATAGAATTTTAATCCATAACTTGTTAGTAAAACTTTGGTAAAGCCTTACTTAAAATACACATGTTTTAAAACAAAAAATACCTCTACATTACATAAGTACTTACAATGTCTTTTTCAATAACACAATTTAATGTCCTACGCTCTGTTGATTCAGCCAGAAGTTTCCAGTCTGATTCATCATCTTCTTTGTCTCGATAAAACAGCTTAGCTTCCACCAACAATTCAGGTTTCTGATGCTCAGCTATTTAAAAAGCATACAGCATAAAGTTATAAACATTGTATTAAAATAATGGACACATGTTTTTAATGTAACATTTCAATACATATTTACATGAAAGAATTTGCAATGTCATGGATTACATCAAAAAAAATAATTTGTTTCGTTTCACAGAATTTATAACAACAAAAATGGACTTACGGTAAGGGTTTTCACTGTTGTATTCAATATTAATATCAAGAACACTTATTAGGTTTTGAAACCACCTAGACATATCAAGCTGAATTCCATCTCTAGGAAGGGGAACTAACTGTGAAAAGACTATCTGGTTGGCATCTATATGTTTTTGTTCAATTTCCATCTGTGGATAGAATTTAAGTCAAGTTTAAATAAAACAAGGTAATTATAAAATTTTCTTATTTCTTTTGAAATTGTAAACAGTCTTTTTTAATTAAATTAAAAATTGATGACAAATATTCATAAAACAAATCTAATTGACTTACCTTATCTGCTTCTCCAGAAAACGTGTCCATAGAGTAACATTTATCTTTTCCCCTAGGGGTAAATGGCTTGACTTGCCTGGTATGCCATAAGTTATCAAAATCTACACATTTCACTGCTATTGAGCTTATTACACTATTTGGAGCTGGAGCTGTACATTGAATAATTATTTGTAAGTAAAATTAATAAGACAAAATTATTTGAAATTAAAACAAATTTATGAAGCCATATGAAAAGATATAAAATAGTCCAATGAAGCCAAAGACATTGTCACTTATGTAATATACTTGCAATTAAAATTATTTTTATTTTTTAAAAATATTATGACCACCATCTTTTTTTAAACCAAAAGGCTATGGGAACTCCATTTAGCTTTACATAGGGCCTGGTTCTAGTAATTCTCACTAATGTTTACGATACCGGTAACAATCATACAATGACAGCAGACATGCCAACGGAGTCTAATTGGTTTTAGTATTTAGCCCGCCATCATAACAGTATTTAATATGAAACATTTTTGAACTACTTTATTATGTCAACAATTTTTAAGCAATTTTGTCCCTCCCCCTACCCCTCTCCCATCAACAACTATCAAACTTTCAATGCCCCCCCCCCACCTCAAAGTAATTATGTCAATATTTGACCACCATCCCACCAAATGAATTATAATATATAAATATATAAAAACATTTTACTCCATGCTGATCTATTTTAATACCGGTAACACCAAATTGTAGGAAAATATTTTATTGCGCCTTTATCTTGTTAATCAACAAATTAAAATGTTTTTGCACTTAAATTTTATAATGCAGAATCAATGAAAAGGTGGTTAAAGACTAAATATCATTGTTTGTGGAAGTAGAAATGTGATTATTGTCAGTATAGCTGACAATGGTAGCATAGTTTCTAGCTGCTATCATCTTCCCATAGAGTAGCCAGGTGTTGCTCTATCATAACAATTGGCATAGTAGCTGATTTATCATTTTCATCTTGCGGAACTGATAAACCAGACAAGTCAACATCATCCTCATCTAACCATTCATCACTTAAAAAAATAATAATAATAACAATAAAGTTCATTTCAAAAACAATATTTATCCCAAATTAAGGCTCGCAGCGGGGTACAAAGTCAACCATATACGACAATATATATTTTTCCACAAATGAAATACAAAACGCTACAATAAAAAATCTACATCGAGGAATATGAGCAAGCTGGAAGTAAGGACGTAGACTACATCACCCCAGCAGGTGAGTGCAAAAAGACGTGTTTTCAACTTAGTTTTGAAAGACTGCAGTGTCTGGCTGTTTCTGAGAGCGACAGGAAGGGCATTCCAGATTCTTGGGCCAGCAAAAGTGAAAGTGCACCTTCCATAGGTATCAAGGCAGACTCGCGGTACCCAGAGTTTGCCACAATCGGATGAAAGGAGTGATCTAGTGGGTACTTAGGGCATCATGTGCGCTTTGAGATAGGACGGCTCCAGGTCATGCAAGCAGCGGTAGCACAGAGTTGCAATTTTGTACTCTATGCGACTGCGGACCAGCAGCCAATGCAGCTCTCTCAGAAGTGTATTAGCATGGTCAAATTTGCGTTTGCTCAGAAAAAAGCATTGTCAGCATGAGGAATAATTGCCATAAGCTCTGTTGGTCTCCAGGCAGCTACTTGCATTAGTCAAATTCTTTTTTGATGAGGAGCAGGTGGTAATTTCTTGTGCATTGTCTGTGCTGTTGAGCTTGCTATTTCAACATGACTTGGGATGCATAACAGATGTTACAGATTTTGCATATCCGCTTAAGCAGCGATGTTATTATGTTTACCCACTTTACTTTCCCCTAATTCTCAAAATATCATATTCCTACTCTATCAAGGTGCCATTTATCTTTAATGCACATGACACTTAAACCGTGTCATTGTTCCATACATGCAACACGATAGCAAACATAATGTCTTAGTCATCTGCGACAAACAGAATCTACAAGCGAAGAGAGGCCAACTTTCAACTTCTCTTGCACTAACAAAGTGTGCTAACATTCTGACCAGCTATTTGCAGTGCACAGACTGACATTTAAGACATTCTCTTAAAAGTAAAAAAAACAAACATATTATAATCACTTAGTTTAGAATAGTGACTTTTGTAATATAAATGTAATCATATTAATATTGTGTCATTGGGGTCTTTCCTTAATTATGTCAACAAAATGGGGGTGGGGGGTGGA